GATCATTTTATATAATCCTAAACCACCAGGGGGTCTTACATAAGGCCATGGTCATCTTATATAATCCTAGACCACCAGGGGGCCTTACATAAGGCCATGATTTGTTTACCTGGCAAGTGTCCCATCGTGACCCTTACCTCCTCATGGAACTTTCCATTAGGTTGGTGTAGGGATGATACATCCCCACAGTATGGGGCCTTTCCTTTCTAGGGGGTGCCAGCTCCGATCAGGCCCCAGGGCAGGGGCTGGCTGGGGGGCAGGGAATGGGGCACGGGGCCTTTCCCCTCTAGCAGGCACTGACTCTAATCAGGTCTGAGGGCAGGGGTCTGGCTGGTGCTGGGGGTGGGGAATGGGATACGGGACCTTTCCCCTCTAGGGGACGCCAGCTCCCATCCGGCCCCAGGGTGCGGGACTGGTTGGCTCAGAGGGGCAAGGAATGGGGCACGGGGCTTTTTCCCTCTAAGGGGCGCTGGGTCTGACCCATCTCCAATGGCCTTTTCAGGCCGGCCCCCCCGCCTGAAGGTCCTGGTGGACATGGACGTCCCAGGCCCGATCAGGGAGGGCGACTCGTTCACGCTGAGATGTGTGGGGGACAGCGGGTCGCTGGACCAAGTCTACTTCTGGATTCACAACGAGGAGCTGCACGGGGGCCCCTCTCAGCAGATTGAAGGGGCAACCTTGTCTCACGGGGGCAATTACACCTGCATGAAGTGGGTCTCCGACATAGGGCATGCCTACCTGGCCATATCCCCCACCACCTATGTGGCCATCCTTGGTGAGTAGCCAGTGCCAGGGCGGGGCCACAGCCCTGGGGGCGTAGCAAGAGAACACAGATTGGGGGTCTTTCTGTCACTGACATTCCAGTTGGGGGCAGGGTCACAGCCATGGGGGTGGAACCAGGTTCACAAATGGGAGGGGACAGGGGCCCTCCTTATGCCACCACTTGGATATGGGAGTGGGGCTAGAGCACTGGGGGTGGAGCCATGGAGCCCCTCCGCCCCATGCCATGCTGCATCTAAGCCCCCAGATGCCGTCCCACGGGAGCTTCATTAGCTCATATCTCATTCCGCTTCCTCTGCAGCCCCCCCTGTGGTGCATGTGGTGGCCACCCCAGGCCCTCATCGCAGCACGGGGGAACCCCTGTCCCTGACGTGCCGGCTGGACACCAGCGCCTATAGCGGATTGGACTTCTCCTGGTACAAGGATGGTGAGCGGCTGGGGTGGGCACAGGCGGAACTGGCTTTCCCGGGCATCCAGGTGGCTGATGGGGGAAAGTATCAGTGTGAGGTGCACAACACCCTAGGGAAATCCACCTCCCTGCCACTCTCCATCACTGTTGTGTGTAAGTACTAGGTGCATTTGATTCCATGCTACGCATTACATAGCCTGGGAATGGCTTAGAGTCCCCCATGCACCATGGCTGACACCCGCACAGTCCTTCTGCAAGGCCATGCCACC